AAAATGTGCATCTGTTTCTGTTTACTTCCACCTCCAATCCTGTCACCGTAGACTTCTGGGAATATTGTAGAGTGTATTTTCAAATACCACCTGGGAATTTAGGTGATGCTGAGGATTCACAGCTGGCAAACTGCAACTTGATCTGCACTTGAAAAGCTTGACTGACAAAGAGTGCTTACAGAGAGTGCTTCTATTGTGCTAAGGCACAACCTCATCCAGGGAATGTCATGGGTGTGTCCAGACTATGGGTGTGTTTGCTTGATATGGTGAGCCACATTTCTACACATTTCCTTAAAAGGTACTTTATTCTGCAAGATCCTGACAGACGATTGGTGCATCCTGCAAAAAGGCTGTTTCATGCCTGCCTCAGGTATCCCATGGAACATGGCAATCACCAGGAGCAGGGAGGAGGGGACCGTGGGAGCTGGGATTGCTGACAACCCTCACTCTAACTCAGAAGTAGAGCTTATGAGCTGCAGTGAGCACAATCTGCAGTACTGTTGAGAACTGAGCTTGGCAGCATCACTGTTACACCACACACCTGTCCAGAGCTATAGCCACCAGGGGATGTGGGGAAGCCAAGCTGTGCTCTTATTGGCCTCAAGAGCAGGCCACGAAGTAGTCCAGTGTGATTACTAATCCCTAAAACAAGTTGTGGCCTGTTGAAGTGTCTCATAAGTCAATTTACTGAGTTCAAAACCCCCCTCCTCGACATAAGCCATGGCTGCTTGTCCTGTTATGTGAACCCGGTCAATATCTTCGATTTGTAGATACCACTTCTATACTTTTCTTCCGCTTCTATATTTTTTCTTACCAGAAAAAAAAATCCACTAAAGAAGAAAACATGAAATAGGTGCACAGTACTTTGGGATGGTTAGTCTAGGATCAAATGTAGTACCCCGTGTGGGTGATGCTGCTGCTGCATGTTCCATTTGGCAAATGTGGTTCCCAACACAAGGCTGTTTCTAGTGAAACGCATGCGGCAGCATTGTATCATCACTGCATTTTTGCTTGAAGTTTGCTCTCTAATATTTTCGACTCCAACAGATTCACCATAAGGATTCCACAATATCCATCCCATACTTTGTGCTTCATGAATTTGGGAGGGCCCATTGTTCAGTGGTAGAACACACTGCTCACACAAATTGCCCAATTCAATCTCTGCCATGCCAAGGTAAATGAATGAGGAATAGGTGATGGAACGACCTTGTCCAGAGATCCTAAACCAGTCTTCCCCAATCACACACCCTCCAGATATGGGGGTCTACAATCCCATCCTTCCCAGCCATGCTGACCGGCAGGAATTGTGGCTCCATACATCTGGAGGGCACCCCTTTAGGGAAATCTGCCCGGGGAACTGCTGCCAGTTAGCACAGACAAAACTTGACTAGATAAACAAATCATTTGGGTTGATAGAGGGCAGTTTCCCATTTTCATAAGATCGTATACACCTAGCCTGTTGCAGACTAAGCAGAAATCTGCACAGTGTTGTCCAGCTTTGCATTGCAGGAAGTCTGTGATCAGCTGGTTTCCCACCATAATAAAGAGGCATTGCAGATGGCAGGCATTCAACTGTCCCCTCCTGCTGCCCATGACTGGCAGACCCACGAGTAAAGCACAGCATCCTTTGGCTTTGTGCACTGTGTTCCGCCTCCCTGCTTGGCCAACCAGCCCACTTCGGTCATGTGTCCCATCTGTGGGGTTCTTGCGAGAGGTCCAGCACTGAGAGGCCAGCTGAGTTCAGGCTGCAGCACAAGGCAGGAAGGAGCAGCTGCTCAGCTGGGCTGATTGGCTGCGTAAGTGTGAGGCAGCAGCCAGCCAACCAGGAATCAGGCAGGCAGGGCATCTTCACCAAGCATGGTAGGAAGCACGTGCCAGTTGATTTCCTGTTGCAGCATATGCAGCTCTCCTGAACATGCACTGTTGGTGGTGGAGAGGCAGTGGAGGGTCCCTCTGGCAGCGGCAGAGGGAGGAGAGCAGCATAATTTCCCCTCTTCCCACTCAGCCACCTGATGTGGGTGTATGAGCCTGTATAAGGGTAGGGCAGTCCCTGCTGAGAAAGTACAGGCTGAACAAAATGGCTTTATTGGCTGGGGCTGATGGAAGTTGTTATACAGTACATTTGGAGGGTACCAGGTTGGGAAGGTTGCGCTAGGAGTTGCATCTTGCCTGTGTTTGTATTAAAGCAATCTTAAACATCAAATTGCTTTCCACCAGAGCAAATAATCTGCTGGACATAATGCTGTTTCATTTCTTTCTTTAAAGGCAAAAAATAAAACCTTTTGATCAGCTGCAGGACTATTGTTGAGATAAATTGGATTTTTCTGGTTGATGTGGATATTCTGAATTCTTGTTTCTGTATAGAGTGATATATGATTTGAATTAGTTGTACAGAAGGCTTGCACAGACTCTCTACGATCTGTAGCTCACAGGTGCATTGCAGTGATCACACTGAAACCTGTTTTCAGAGGACTGATTTTTGCACAATCCAGTCAACCTTCTCTGCCTGAACCTCGTTGATCTGACATGAGTGACTTGAAAGGCAGAGATGCAGTTCTGAGCGCCACCTTGTGGGTTCCTTCCCAAACACTCTTCCACCACAGCCTTGCCGCTGTACAATTCTGCGTCAACACATCTTACTTCGGTCATCCCAAAGTACAGCTCTGTAGGAAACTGATTGTGGCGTATCTGCTCTCAAGTTGTACCTGCTCTCTTTAGGATGCTTGTGCTTTGTTTTATATTTTCTTATTGTTAAACCAACCCAAGACCACGGTAAGGGACGGTCTAGAAAAGTTTTAAATGAATAAATAAAATAGTTGTGGCAGGTACACTGCATCAACCGAGAAGCAGGATGGATGGGTAGAGAGAAGGCTGGTAGGTGATAGGGGGCTGCATTAAATCAATGGACCATATCAGAGCTAGAATGCTTCTTTCCGGCTCAAGCAGGCAGCATTCTAGTAGTGAGCATGCAACATTACTTTCCCTCACATAGTGCATGCGCATGTGCATGCACACACAAGCACACAACCCCCCTCTTCCCCCCCACACACTCCATTCATACCTATATGCACTTTCTTCCATCAGCTGATCAATTATCCAGTGCAAAGTGCCAGTGTCAACCACATATTTCTGAGGGATTTAGGGCAAGGCACCCTCAGTGGGGGATCTTCTCATTGTGTAACTCTAGTTTCTTACCACCATTGTCACCAACTGCTGTTGTGTCTTCTGTCTCATCAAGGCTACCACTGGGCAGAGAGCCAGTAGGCTGTGGCATCGATCGCTTCTCATTCTTGCCACTACTGCTGGCTGGGTCAGGGCCAGGGCCAGGGCCAGGGGAAGCTGGATGAGTCCATTGCCGCGGTGAAGAAGAGGAACAAGGCAAGCAGCTCCTATCAGTGGGCCCTCAGCAGGTGTCCAACCATGTTCACCTTTGAGGCTGGATCTGCTAGTAGCAGGTTCAAAACAGCAGTCAATCCATCAGGACCGGAGAGGGGGTGGGGTTGAAACCTCCCCCCACACCCGTCATGATCCACATCACAGATTCTTCATGGCTAATAACAGCAGGGGAAAAGTATCTGTTTCCCATTCATCAGCTGATGGTTGATCAGGCAGATGGTCACAAAAATGGATAGGACTTCCCAGGGCTCTGCATGTTGGCCCAAGAGTGGGCAAGGACCCCATACAGTCCACAGGATGTAGGTTGCCCATACTTGTGCTACATCAATATTATTGTTCCAGGCTAAAAATTTCTCTCATCATGTTTTCAAAAGATATGTATTCGATGTTACTTTATCAATACAATTAAATTTAAAAGACTATGATCAATCACTTGTTTCCAACACTTTATCATAAGGTTTTCTATGATTCCTTACACATTTGTAAGTTGTTGATTTTTGCATGCTTGTGGATTTCTAGATTCTTAGAAGAAGAATGTGACTTTTTCCAGTATTAGTTTATACTTGTTCCACCTACTTTGACCTAGAAAGCACAATTTCTACATGTCTTTTCAGTTAAGGCCCCTAGTGGTACTAACAGATCATTACCTCAGGAGAGTCAAAGCGTAGTGTTCTCAATGGGAAGACATTTATTATCTATAGATTTTCCCAAAGTATTGTCTTTCTGAAATAGCTTACAAGAAAATATTGAAATTCAGCACAAATTCACTTGTTTAAAGTATCTGACACATGTTTTTTCCACAGGTGTACCTCATTTATAATACTCTATTTGCACCATTAAATTTTGTTCTATCTCCCCAGCAACTTTTTCCACAAGGGTTTTCTTTTAGTAAGCATGTTTATCAAAGTGTGTGTGTGCTTATTTATTTATAGAAATATAAGTATTATTTATTTTTCAGTATGCTGATAACATGCAGCTCTATTTCTCCTTTTCATCGGCAGCAGTTGAGGCTGTGGATGTACTAGACCGGTGTCTGGCTATGATAATGGACTGGATGATGCCTAACAAACTGAAACTCAATCCAGACAAGAGATGCTGCTGGTGGGTGATTCCTTTGACCAGATGGGGGTGTTCAGCCTGTTCTGGATGGGGTTCACTCCCCCTGAAGGAGCAGATTCATAGCTTGAGGGTGCTCCTTGATCCATCTTTGCCACTTGAGGCTTAGGTAGCACTGGTGACCTCATACCCATTATATTTCCACTATATGCAATAATTTTCTAAGACATGTCTTTGTAAACTGGTTGGGGAAACAATGGTTGATAGCCATATATATACACACACAAATTGTCCTATTCCATTTTTTTCTCTACTCTGTATGTAAATTACAGCTATGTGTTGCTTTGCCAATTTCATAAGCTCCTGATTTATTTCTTGTAATTTAGAATGGAGATTTGAAATCCATGCTGGGAGGAACATGAAGCTGTCATAGTCTAGTCCAGGAGCAGTGCTTTCTCTCATTCTCCTGGATTAGATTTCAGGGTTCATGTGGGGAGAGCCTCTGGACAAGCATTTCAATTGCAGATACACCTCAGCAACTTTCATCATTAAAATGGGACCATTCCATTCCAGTTGATCACAGCACCTTCCCACTTAGTTCGGATTGCCATCTCGATAGAAGGGAACCTTTTTTCCAGATCATTGTCCGTGTCACTCTGCTTCTCTTCCCAGTGATGAGAATGAGTGTCTGAAAGAAGAAACAAATGCATTTTTCCTATTTATTTATATTTGTACCCAGCCATTTTTCAAAGGACCTCAAGGCAACATATCTAGTTCTCTCCTGGTCCTCCTTTTTATCTTCACAACATCCCTCTTGGGTTGAGAGATAGTGTCTTGCACAAGATCACTAAGCAGGTGTCACAGCTGAGTGGAGAGTTGACCCCAGGTCTCATCTGAACACAAGAACATAAGCACTATCCTGGATCAGACCAAGTACCCATCTAGTCAGCATTTTGATCACTTTAGGGCCAACCGGCTGCTCACAGCTTCCCAAAAGCAGGATGTGAATGCAGTGGCACCTTTCTGCTGAAGTTCCCCTACAACTCTATTGTTGGAGGTAGCATATAGGAGGTTCTCTCAAGACTAGCCTTCTTCCCCATGAATTTGCCCAATCCCATTGTAAAGCAGACCAAACAGTGGCCATCACAACATCTTGTAGAATTGGATTCCATAGCTTAACTCTGAAGCACTGCATGAAAAGTACCTCCTTTTTATCTGTCCTGAATCACCCACTAGTCAGTTTCATGGGAGGACCCCAGATTCTAGTATTATGGGAAATGGAGAAACATGTCTCACTCTTCATTTTCTCCAAACCATGGATAGTTCTGAACACTTCTATCAAGTTTCTCCTTACTCACCCTTTTCCTAGGACCACAACCCCAGCTGTTGTAACCTTTCCTCATATGGGAGTTGCTCCAGAACTTTGATCATTCATTTGTTATTTTCGGTATTTTTCTTACGATATTGACCTCCATGTCTCCCTTGTATATTTGTAAATATAACAGTTATTATAGTGACATCACAGATCTCCAGTCCTTTTCCCCCAAAGGAAACTATATGAGGTAGCACTGCTCTTAACATCTAACTGGTTGGGGAAGTGTGAAACATATAAACCTATTTAGCCAATTGAATCTGGACAAACTTTATTTTTATATTTAAGAATTTACTTACATTACATATGTACTTCTTTGGCTTACATTGTAAAACTGAAGGCTGCAGTGTTTTGCATGTTTCTATGCCTTTTGAGACCTATTTTACCACTACATTTATATCCCACATTTATTTATTTATTAGATTCATATCTTGCTTTTTTCTAGCAGACTCAAAGTGGCTTACATCATTCTCTTCCTTCTGCTCTCAATCTTATCCCCACAACAACCCTGTGAGGTAGGTTGGACTGAGCATCTGTGACTGGCCAAGTCACCCAGTTGGTTCCATGGCTGAGCAGGGACTCTAGAACCCAGATTCCCTGAGTCCCAGTCCTGTGGTCTTAAACACTACACCACACTGCTCTCTACTCTTCCCACAAAAAGCAAATGGCAGCACCCTTGCTTTAATGCCAGCTCCCCATGCTATTCTCACAACAACTCTGTGAGGAAGGGTAGGTTGAGAGAGAGTCATTAGCTGAACTTTATCCAATGAGCTTCATGGCTGAGTGGGGTTTTGAACCTGGGTCATTCTAGTTCCTGTCCAGGACTCTAATCCTTGTGCCACACTAGTTCTCAAGATATCCAAATGTTCAGAAGATGCTTTTTAGAAAACATGTGCCCAACTCTTCAGCCTGTCTTTTATTCTGCATAATAGAGAGACCTTCCCTGACATTCTTTTGTTACTGAGTGTTTCATAAAAAGAGAAGGAAAAAATGAAATAGTTGGTCTCTTAATGGATTATACGGCCTAGAACAATTTGGGCATTCTTCCCCTCCCAACAAGCTTTTAGAACTCTCCTCAGGGAACCTATTTTTCTTTAGAAATGTTCTTGTCTCCTAATTGCTGGAGTTTTCTTTCAAAATTTGCTCTCAGAGCTGTATTTTTAAATACTGTTTACTGTGATCTGTTTAAGATTTGGGCATTTTAAAAGGGGTTGCTTAAAAACATTTTTTTGTCTGGAATGCATTACTTCTGCATATAGCTCCCACAGTACAGAAAGCAGAACAATGCCAGTTTAAAAATCAAAAGGTGCACTCAGATCAATATCCACCCTGCCACCATTAATTTATGACGTTGCAGAAATGCACCAAAAGAAAAAGAAAAGAAAAAGAAAAGAAAAAAGGATTTAAGCAACATTTACGTAAAGGGCAGTGATGGGCATATGAAGCTGAAAAAAGCTAAGTGTATTCTTGTAAAAGTTCTCTTTGAGAAATCTAAGTGCCTACCTATTGTTAGATGCACCGTTGTCTTTTGCGAGGGCTGCGCATTATAAAAATACAAGTCAAAGAGATGTTCCATTTTCCAGTCCGACAAGAGCAACCTGTTGGTGCTGAAAAGAACACTGTAGGTTCCATTGATATCGCACAACCATATAGGCAATTTAGGGGTCTTCAGCATACTGCCAACCTAGGGGAGAAAGCAAGAAGTTTACACACAGACAGTGGAGTGAGTAGAAAAGTTAACAGGTCATGTTTGCGGGTTAAAAACCCCTCTTCACTTAAAAAAGCGCTCTTCCGGGGGTGGTTACACTTTTCAGTGTGTCTGCATGTGTGCGTGCATGTGTGCACATGGGGGGGAGGGGGGTGTTGGGTATGATGCAGGGCCCCAGAGAAGTAACTTGGGACCCAGAACAAATACTGTCACTAGATAAATGCATTCTGTATTTTAGGATATAGCACTTAACGGTGATGAATTAAGGTTAAAACCTTTTTATTTAATGACTGTTTTAAAAATTAATTTTATTGTTAATAGTGGCTTTTTTATTTTTGTTTTTATATAATTTTACTGTATTGTTTTATTGTTTTAATTCTGCATTGCAAGCCGTCCTGAGATGCCAAGGCATGTGGTGACCGCATATAAACGTTTTAAATAAATAAATAAATAAATAAATCCTGGGACAATTTTCAGATAGGATGGGGTAGAAATATTTTAAATAAAGAAATAAACTGCAAAGGCCATTATAACTAGAGTTACATTGATGAAGAAAAAGAAACAAAAGAAAGAGTCTGAATAGTAAATGCATTTTCTCTACCCTAGCCACCAAAACTGATTTGTTGGGCAATGTATGCCCTTCCCTTACCAAGCCGTATCCATCTGATGCCCCATTTCTTTAACTCTGCATATCCAGATTTTGCTAATTAATTCACAAGATCAAGGGCAACTTCAAGCCAGAGTCCAAGCCTCACTAAACTTGATAAACGGACAACAACCAATAACTGTGATTAAATTTAAGTATACTACAGTGAGTGAGTGGATACAATCAATGAATAAATAAATAGATCCTAGTCATAATACACTGATGAAGTTTAAACTTGGGGCAGCTAAGCAAGAAAGGCATTTTCTGAAAAGAGATTATAAAGGGAATTTAAAAACAAAGCTGCCGATATTGTAACCCCCCCATACAAATGTATGGTGCAGCCAATATGGGCGAGGGGACAATTCTGGTTGCCCCATCTCAAAAACTATATTGTTGAGTTGGAAAAAGTGCAGAAGAAAGCAACCAAAATGATCAGGGAACTGGAGCAGTTACTCTATGAGACGAGACTAAGAAGTTGGAAACAGTTTAGGAAGGAAGAGGACAGTGGTCCAGAACTATCAAATTATGCCTGAGGTGCAGAAAAAAAGTTTGCCACAAAATTGAGAATCAAAAATTGAGTTCATCCGATAAAACAGAGTGGCAGGAGATTCAGGACAGACTTCTTTATACACGCATAATTAACATAGGGAATTAATGTGGGAAGCAGGATCTATCAGAACATTTCTTATGTTGCTAGGGCCAACGGATTCAGTAGGATGGTTATGCATCTTTTTATATATCCAGCATTTGTATCTCCCATTTAAATATATTTAGCCTTCCTTAATATAGTGCTCTCCACATGTGTTGAACCACTGCTTTCATCTCCCGCAAACTGCATGGCCCTGTCTAGATGGCACCTGATATTCATTCGTTCGTTCTGTGTTGGTTTCCATCCCAATACTTCGTTGTTCCTGCAGTGCTAGGAAAAGCCCTTCCTCTTTTCACAAGCATTTTAGAAACCCCTGTAACCTTGCACATCAAACAGGATACTGCAGAGCTGCAACGGATGCAGAAAAAGGGCAACCTGAATGATCATGGGTCTGGAACATCTCTCTTATGAGGAAAGGTTTGCAGCCTTTTCACCTTAGGAGAAAGATGAATCACCAGGACGTGAGAAAAGGGTACATAATCAAATTCTGCTTGCTGTGGAGGAAATGTCTCGGGAGAGGTTTTCTCCTTCCTGTCTCATAATACTGGAACCTGATCTCCTTCCTTGATGCTGAATGGTGGAAGATTTACAGCAGACATAACAGAAGTAGGTCTTCACATGGTCCATGGTTAACAATGGAATTTGCTACAACAAGCTGTGGTGATGGCAGCCAGCTTGGACCATCCACCGTCATTAATGGCTCGTAATCCTGATGGGCATATAATACTTCCAGAATAATCAAAGGGTTTATATCAGTCGCTGAAGCACATGAATGAGAGGGTGACATTGCTTTCATGTCCCACCTGTGCGCTTCCCAAAGACATTTTAATTGTTAATATTATTTGCTTATTTTATCTGGCCAGGGCGACTTATTTTATATTGTTATTTCTTGTATTTTAATTTATATTGTGAGCCGCCCCGAGGCTTCGGCGAATGGGGTGGCATAGAAATGTTTTAATAAATAAATAAATAAATGTTGCTTGTTCCACAAGGACAGAATTCCAGCCTTTGACCTGTTCCAGCACAATAGTCCTCCTCCAGTTACTTTTATGGTGTTGTGTCTTCTAGTTTATTATATTTTTCATATTTACATTTTAATAGCTTATTCTTTTTTGTAAATATTCTGGGAAGACCTTCTTTCCTTTAGAATAAAAGTGGCCAGGTTAGGTACATTCATTTAACCAATGTGAGTAATGTCACTTTTAATTTGGCCAACAGCTTGCATATGTACCTGAATCCAACAGATACTCAAGGGAAATTCATTTTAAAATGTTTCTATACTACCCTTCAACTGATATCAGGGCTCTGTACAGCAAGTTAAACAATTGTAAAATAAAACAAAATCATTAATCATGGCAAGAAATACATAAAATCAACAATCACATTAGTCAACTTAAAATAAGACAGTTTAAAATGCTTGGGCAAACAAAAATACAGCAACATCAGGGTGCCACAACAAAGAAGGTTCTCCCCTTTGTTTTCACACAAAGTTCCAACAGTACTGTGAATTTTCCTACCCAAGGCAATTATTGTGTGTTTGCCATTGTTTATCAGTTCTTTAGATGTTGTTGTGATCCTTCAGTTTTGCTTCAATGTCTTATTTTTGTTTCTTTTAGAGCAAGAAAAATGTATCATTTATAAAAGCAAACAGCCCACCAGTTTTTTCACTTGTGTATTTGAGTTATTCTGTTGTACCCCAGTGCCACCTAAAGGTTATGTAGCAGAAAAACAGGAAAGGAAATACTCTTCATGTCAGTTCTACAACAAAACTGAAAGTAGGTACAGTGGAGTAATTGCCTCATATATAAAAGCCTTTTGGAGAAGGGTCTCCTTTGACAATCTTAAAGCAGAGTTGGGCTGCTATGAGGAGAAGTTCTCCCTCAGATTTTGGGGGTTAGTATGTTTACCTCACCTGCAGAAGACTATAATGTTCCACTTCTTCCTTGCTCCAGTGTAAATAGCCTACATCACTGCGGGATAAGACTCCATGACTCAGCTTTTGCACACTGCCTTCAGTGTCAATCTTCTGGAACCCATTAAACACATGTGGGCTTGCTCTTCCTGTTAAAATGAGATTCAGAATTGCCTAAAAGGGGAAAGGATCCACATTCAGGAGGTAGATCAGAAACTGAGCTCAAGAATGACACCAAAAGCCAGAACAGATGCCAAATAGATGCATTCAGCCAATTTGCTTCGTTTTGTTGCTGCCCCTTAAAGTAGGCTAGCAGGATCTATTAGATATGCTGCGAAGGAGATGGGCACTGTATGGCTACATACTTCCCCATGTCCCCCTCCTCTCTGCATTTAAAAGCAGTTGGGACAATTTAGTTCAGAAACAAATTAATGCAGGAGGGTTAATGCTCCTTCCTCGTATGACTTAGCAAAACGTTGAGCTTGCCAAAATTGTGCAAATTCCATTCTGAAGCTGTTCCAACTCAATATCAGATTGTGAGCTTTGTTTTATTCTTTTTTGCCTGAAAATCCATGTATATTTTCTGCATATTTTTCCAAAAGTACACATCAATTGTGTGCAACTTTGAAACATATATATATTCCTCTCCCATTGGTTAAGGAGTATTTGTGTGGATTTCTCAAACGTACACGTTTTCATGTTCTTTCCAAATGCACACATGTTGAGCACAAAGTTTTCTGTGATGGATTTAAAGTGAGAGATTATTTATTTATTTAAGGATTTTTTTATCCCGTACTATCACCAAAGTCTCAGGACAGTGATACAATAGGAAGCACAACGTCAACATCCTCAATATGCCCCAATTAAAACAAGTATTAAATCTTATTTATTTATTTAAAACTTTTTTAGGGAGTGCAGGTGGTGCAGTGGTTTAAACTGCTGTGCTGCTGGGCTGGTTGATCGAAAAGTCGCTGGTTCAAATCTGCACAACGGGGTGAGTTTCTGTTGCTCCATCCCAGCTCCTGCCAACCTTGCAGTTCGAAAGCATGCAAATACAAGTAGATAAAAAGGTACCACTTTGGTGGGCAGGTAACAGCGTTCCGTGCACTTTGGTGTTTAGTCATGCTGGCCACATGACCATGGAGACTGTCTGCAGACAAACGCTGGCTCTCTTGGCTAGGAAATGGGGATGAGCACCGCCCCCTAGAGTCAGGCATGACTGGACAATATCAAGGGGAAACCTTTACCTTTTAAAACTTTTTTAGACTGTCCCTTACCAAAGTCTCTTAAGATGAAATCTTAAGATGTTGGGAAAATAAAAAAGGTTTTGGCCTGGCACCAAAAGGAATAAAGATTAGCAGGAGAACTGTTCATAGATCTCTTGTGCCATGCTTGCATTGGGCAATGCACACATATTTTTCATGTTATCCTTTTATCTCTACTCTTTGTAGCTACAAGATGCACCATTTTTCTTTTTTTAATTGGATCATCTCAGCAGCTATGGCAGCTAAGTATTACTATCATGGCATCCTGGCATATGACAATGCCAGCACATGTTTAGAGAGATGGTGTTACTCGGTACGAGATTTCCACCAGTATAGTAGCTATTCTAACAAGTGGCATTAGCAATGACAGAGCAAATTACTGACTGATTACCTGCTGTTCCCTATCCTCACCCTATTCTTTCGTGAATATAGAGTTCTCAGAAGTGCAAAGTTGCTTACTTACTGAGTTATTAAATTATTACAAGGTTACCCCTTTTCTCTGAAACCCTGACAAGTCACTGCAAGTCAGTGGCCCACTTTAGACAACACAAAAACCCAAAGTTAAATAGACCATATGTTGTTTACAATGTGTGAACTGTGTCAGTGTGTGTGTGTATGTGTGTGTGTGTGATAAACCCTGAGCTAGATGGACCAAAGCTTGTTAAGAGATGTACACATCTGTAGTAAGCATTAAAACCAAACAAAGGACTTTAACCATCCTAATTTTTTCATCTTCCCTCTTTTATCTTGTCAGAGCCTGCAAAGATACAAAATCAGCCAAACAAGTATTGCAAATGCCCCCAAAGGGATGATTCTTTAAAATTCTTTTTGCCTTTAGCATTATTGAACCTTTGCTCTCATTGTTTTATTCTGAATTGAATGAATTGATAGACCTCTGACCATATTTAAGAATATCTCTAAGTGGTTTTGAAAAGTACTGAAGGAAAATGTAGCATACATACACAAACCTACTTGTCTACAGATGAAGTCTCCAAGTCTGCATTGTAACAAATGGGCTGTTGTGAAATCTAGGTCTTTTTGAAGCCTATTCAACCAAACAAAAGAAAACTTTATTGTTTTCAATTACAGTTTGATGTCAGCATGTTATGCATCACCAGCCTTCTTGCCAAAAAATGATCTGAGTTTCAGCCATCTTATGATCATTTCTCTATTATTTATTCCTGACCTCACCTAAAAAATCAACAAGGCAGCAGACAACATTTTAATGCAATAAGTCCTTCAAAAAAAGAACATTACAGACAGTCCAATCCTGTGATTCCTAGACAGCATCTAAACAGCCATAGGATCATTTGGATTCCCACTTTTGAAGGTAGAAAAGAGACCTTGGATCTGAGAATCCACACTCAGAATTCCTTCCTCCCATCTTGTGGCTTGTGCAGAAAGAATTACACTGTTGCATCTCCAAGACCAAAAGAGGGACCTCAGAGAAGGGACAGGTATTCTGGTGGGTGGGGTGGGGAGGAGAGTAGCACTGCCAAGAGACAATTTTTTCAGGGGGCACCTCAGCCTCCTTCCCTCCCCCTCCCGATAACCTTGGCTATGTGGCAGGAATTGGCTGCCTAGGTGCAGGGTGGGACCAGTATGGACATAAATTCCTCTTCCCTCTCTACACAGGATGCCTGTCGTCCTCCATGCTCAGAGGGTCATGGGCAGCCTCATTCAATTGCACCCTAAAACACCAAAACTTTGTATTTTGAAAGGTTAATTTGAAGAGAACCATGATATGAAGAAGGCTGTGTTGCCAAGAATGAAACAACAGCTATACCTGGGAACAGCAAGTTAATGCACAATATTCTCATCATGTTCCCACAGCACAGCATAAACCTGATAAACAGTATGATAAAGTGGCTAGAGTGCCAGACTAGGGCTGTGGAGATTTGGGTTCAAAGCCCCACACTGCTATGAAGTTTATTGGAAAGTTTGGCCCAGTTATTGTCTCTTAGCTTCATCTAACTCACAGGGTTGCCATGAGGATCATGGAACATAAGAAGGGGCAGAACTGGCCATGGGTGCTTTGGAGAAAGCAAAATGTGGATGTAAACAACAAGCTCTGTTGGATGGGCTGTACTGGAAGAATGGCAAGGAGTTTATTCAGGTTCAACAGGTAGTGTAGAGAAATTTCCCAGTGTCCAAAAGCCAGAGCAGTTTCTTGGCTTTCAGCTTGTTGGGAAGAGCTCCAGTAATAATTGCCTTGAATGTGCCTTCACCAATCATTCTCAAGAGAAGGACTGATTTCACTGTGAGAATGAAATTGCTTCCTCCGCTGAAGCAGCTTTGTCCCCACAGTCTCCTAGGAAGTGGGTTGTGTCCTGTCAACTCCTGAAATAATGAGGGGTGGGTGGGTGGAAATGTATGACAAAAGGCATTATCTTTCATTCTGGCCTGGAGAGAGAATTGATGCATCACTCACTCAGACAACTTTGGACATCCATGGAGCATCCTCTGGCCCTGGGGCATTCCCTGGGGAAGCAATTCAGCCAGGGAGTGTAAGCTTTCTTTTGCTTGCTCATATTTTGCATCCATATTTCATCACGGTGTTCAATGAACCACATTTTCATCCTTGATAAAGGTTTTTTAGTTTCTTCCTAAGTATCCTCAGATCTAAAGTGAGTTCCCTTGGCTGAACCAAATTAGAACGTAATTTGTTAACCCATCTTCTGCCTGAAGAGATCTTAAAGTCCTCATAATACTAGGTAAACTGATTCCCATAACATCTTACCTTGTTCTCATAACCCAAACTTGCTCAAATTAAGAGATGGCATGAGGAACATTCAGGTGTAATGGGTCCTACCAGGCAAGGCCTTCACTGTACCCCGAAAGGTTCTCTGGACATGGCAAGCAAGCATGCTCCTGGCATCAAGAGGAGCATCCAGAGCTTTGGGAGGATTCACTGGGATCACACTGCAGGAAGAAAGATCAAGCTTCCCTTCTGGTGTCCCATGGTCCTGATTCTGATGTTTCCCTCCTCACATGGTTGCCCATTGTTTACAGTTAAAAGAATACATTCTATGTTAAGCTACACGTTTAACATGTAGTTTGGTTTTAAATACTTTTGGCAAGCAAAATATGTTGTATAGTTAAATGAGAACTGTTGCCTTTGCATCCTTCTGTCAAACTCCTATTTTCCATTAATATCCATCCAGAAATGATTGCAAATATCCATTTATTTTATATATTTTACTACATTAATATTCTGCCTTTTCTCCTCTTGCAAAGATTGTTCTCCTCCCCATTTTGTCCTCACAACAGCCCATGAAGACGTTCGGCTGAAAGTCAGTGGCTGACCCAACATCATCCAGGGACTTTCTGGGCTGAGTGGCAACTAAAATGCAAATCTCCCGAGGTCCAGTACAGCACCCTAACTGCTGCATCACACTGGTTTTCTTACCATGCTATGGCTTCTCCTTAAAATGTGATCAGTGTGGGGGCTCATACTTCTAAAAGTTTCTTCCCTGCTAAGATTTTTAAAAATAATACTTATTGGTAGGATGCATGGAACATCTCTACATCTGGTATCATACCAGTGCCCTCCCCACTCCCGCTGACCCTCCTGCAACTCTTCAGGGTTGCTCTTTGGTGCTAAATACTGAGAGTCGTGATTTTGCCAGAAATACACAAAAAGCATTTAAGCTGCAAAAAGCATTTAAGTAAAAAGGAGCAAATGTCAAAACATTCCTTGGCTTAAATCTAAGCATTACTAAAAATGGAAAAGCATTTTCTTACCGCTCAAATGTCCTTGAGAAAAGCAAGCTATATAGAAATAAGATCACCCCATGGCTTCCGTCACAATTCAGCTGATTAAAAGGATAGAACGATGAGCGTCTTTCAGAGTTATGTTGACATATATATTCATAGTTCACCTATTTGTAGGACTAAAGCTGAGGGGAAAGCATTTGCTACATACATAAGTTTGTCAGCCAGAATGCAAAACTTAATTAGCCATAAATTGGATCAGAACAAAAGACAGAGCCATTTTATAGCATTGCTGCCTGAGAATAAGGCCGCAATTCTGTGCACTCAGACCTGGGGACAAGCCCCATTGAATAACTAAGTGCTTACTTATACTCAAACTTGCATAAGTGTAGTTCCACCTTATACAACCTGGCAACTGATACAAATCTGAAAAGCCACTGCATATCCTCTACTTACATAGTGTATGTGATCACAGAGAAATTGCTGAGCTGTTTCTTTCTCAAAAAAGTCAAAAAGTTGCACCTGCAAATGAAGATTTAAAATGCTATGAATGTAGGAATAATTTTTGGAAAAGATGTTGTGTGGTGTAATAATTAATTCATCCAGTGTTGTTACAAGCAAGAGCAGCTCATTATAATTTTGTTTTTATTTATTTATTTTTTGGATTTTTTTTTTACCCCGTCCAGTCTTTTTCAGGTCTCTGGATGGCTTACAAGTCAAAATCCAATAAATACGTATAAACCCAAATAATACAAAATAATCCACTACTGAACATAAAACATAGTTACAATATTAAACATTAAAATTATGGAAAAATAAAAAGGTCTTGATCTGGTGCCGAAAAGCATATAATGTCGGTGCCAGGCAGACCTATCTGGGGAGCACATTCCATAGCCAGGGTGCCCCCCACAGAGAAGGCCCTCCTCCTAGTATATTCTCTCCTAACCTCCTTCAAGGAGGATTCCTGGAGCAGGGTCTCTGCTGCAGATCTTAAGGGGTGGGTGGGTATGTAGGGAAAAAGTAGTTCCTTTAGGTATCCTGGTCCCAAGCCATTTAGGACTTTATAGGTCAATACCAGCACCTTAAATTGGGCTCGGGTTTCAATTGGAAGCCAGTGAAGCTGATAGAGGACCGGGATTATATGAGAATAACAACTGGCCCCCGACAGCATCCTGGAAGCTCTATTTTGCACCATCTGAAGTATCCGGACCATCTTTAAGGGCAGCCCCACGTATTGTAGAGCACGTTACAATAGTCCAGCCGGGAGGTTACCAGAGCGTGTATCACCACTGCTAGGCAGTGCTTGTCCAGGTAAGGACGCAGCTGATGGATCAGCTGAAGCTGAAGGAAAGCGCTCCTCGCCACTGCTGCCACCTGGGCCTCCAGGGTCAGCTTTGGGTTCAGGAGCACTCCCAAGCTGCGGACCCTGTCCTTTAGGGGGAGTTCAACCCATCCAGGACAGGGCCAAAATCACTTACCTGAAAACCTGAACCACCTACCAAAAGGACCTCCATCTTATCTGGATTGAGTTTCAGTTTTTGCTCTGAACATAGTTTTATGGAGGTTTCCCAATCCCTGGACCCCACTTTTCCATTGTAATCCAGGCTCTGCTCATACCAACTCCCTACATAGGTGGGCAGACAGTAGATCTGGATATACGGAAAGGTCTCTGGATGATTCTCATTAGACCAACAAGAGATTCCAATTTCCAGTTGTTTTAACAAAAGCAGCAGCAGAATGATTTCCCCAGTGCCAATATTAGCTGCTGGAATGGAGATAACTTGGGTAGTGAGGAAATGACTTTAGTGTGGTAAGAAGGTAAACTTAATTCGGTTCCAGTACAGAACATAAATCCCCAAGCCAGGGATGTCGTTAGTTCTGGGTCCATGAGACCCCAACCCTCACTGATTTCCTAAACCTCTATTCCCCAGAGATCTAAGTGTCATTTAATTGCCATTCAGGCAGCAATTTTCAAGTGGGATTGCAGTTGGGGAAGAAAGGTTTAATCCTTTCCTTCTCATATACTAGAATACCTCTTCCCTGGCATGGCAATTAAACTTAGGGGGAAAATCCAGAGCTTCTATTGATACCAATGGCATACTTTTTCAAAAAGCTTACTTGCCTATAAGGAGGGAGATTGCCAGGGGATATGCAAATTGTATGGAAATTTCTGACACAATAGGCTAGGCTCCAAGCACTTTAAATGCCCCTCTGCTTAAATCCGACATTCTGCTTTTAAAGTCCTGGTTCTTGCACCTGGCTCTGGTTCGTGGTTCCTTTGGCTCTAGAGAAAAAAGTAGAGCTGGTCTGCTGGTCTGGAAGCCTGGTCACCCCTTCTTACCTCATTCAGAAAGTCGCATCTTAGCAGAATGGAACCGAATATATAAGAATGGAAGCCAATGCTGCATTGGATTCATCTAGTCCAGCCTAATTTAATCCTTTTACGCACATTTGTGTAAGTGTCTATGTGTAGGGGGTCATAGGATTGCTCCCTAGATGACTCTTTTGTTATTATGCTGTTGTATTTTACTGTCTCATCTTGTAAAACACATCAAGCTGCTTTTAGATATGGGAACCAGTATATAAACACATAAAATATTGATGTGCTTTTGCTGAAACATCTGGGCAGACCCTATGACATTTAACAATACATGGAGCAGCACAGCAAAACAAAGAACCCCTCCCCCACCATATTAAATTTAAAAGAATGAATTGCAGAATTCAGTACCTCAATTCACACAGCAGCTTCCCTCCCTCCCTCCCTCCCTCCCTCCCTCCCTCCCTCCCTCCGTGTGTGTGTGTGTGTGTGTGTGTGTGTGAGAACCACCCAGACAGCTTTACTTACTGAGTTACATAGAAATACAGTAAATATTTTTTTCATCAAAGGAAACTGATTTCCACCAGCGGTTCGGCTGGGAATAGGAGTTCTAAGTGTTCGTTGTTTCTGACACAACATAGGATCATGTGTATGCTTTGAAGACTGTGTGTTGCCTTTTAGAATCAAGCCCACTTCCAAATATACATCTTTTAAGAACATCGCTTCTCTTACTTTTTCAGTAAAGTGATCCACTTTGTAGTCTATGCTTGGAGTAAAATATGTGTCATTGGTGACAAGACAGACAGTAGCTTTCTGACCTTCCCCCGCTTTCCACAGAATCCCAGCCAGAGCTGATGCAAGAGCCTTTTCTTGCTCTGTTTGACTTATCTCACATAAACTGAAAAGCCAAATAGAAAGAGTCTATGAAGGGAACCACACAAATCCACTGGCTAATCAATAGACCACAGAATAGCTCTTTGGATAACACTCTCAAAGAGCAGCGAAGGGCTTTGCACAGCATGACAACCCACCATGAGCTGCAATCCACAAAGGGTTATAGTGTCACGCAAGCCCAGGGTGCCTTGCTCATGGGCAACAAACCACCCCAAAAATGTATAGGTCATTGTACCGCTGGTGGATTGCCATGACATCTGAACATAGAATAGATAGACACAGTATAGACAGCAGAAAGCTTTAAAAATGGAGCTGCAACTTTACCAGCTGCCAGAGTTAACTGTTTGTGTGAATGGGGTAGCTGGCACTTTGCAAAATGACGGATTATCAGGAACAGGTATAAAAGTGAGGGTATCCTTGAGACACATGAGTCCTATTCCCTGCCCCACCCCCCACCCCAAGTTCTTGCTACAAAGGGGATGAATGACATGCCACCACATTTCCATGAGCTAAGATGTTTCATGCTCTTGGTTATGTTTGAGAGCTCAACTTTTGACAGCTGTCAGAAGTAACCGAAGGGGAAAATGAACTTGCAGACTCTGTGGGGCAATAACTGGATGGGTACCTGCCAGCTTGCACTCCTTTGCATATTACTCAACCAAGGCTCCTCAGTCCCATATCAGTGTAAGTGCAAACATTCAAAGTTGAACAAGTGAGCATAATTTTAAAAACCAACAATTCTTTCTAAACCTGGCAGAAATCATGGTTTCTGAATTTACTTAGCATTACCCATAATTCTGCATCTGGAAGATATGGCAAAGTGTGAGTAACTGAAGGTGGCAGTGAAAGCTTCCAAATTCCCTGGCATGGGAGGAAGAGAGGGGAGGGGAGGAGAGTGACAACTTGACGTTTGCTCAGACTCATTGAAACTTTCTTAAGCTACTTTTGCTTGAAGAACTGTCTCCTCTCATATATACCTGTCCAGAACTAAGGTCATCCTCAGTGGTCTTTCTCTCCGAGCAGTACCAAAGGAAGTGAGTAAGAAGAAGGCCTTCTTTGCCATGGCACCTTGGGTGTGGAATGAGCTTCTTGGAAAGCTTCACCAAGCACCAATGTGGTTTTCTTTCTGGTTCCAGGTGAAGATCTTATATTCTCAGGAATCCTAGTCTTTCAGGCACTGCAGTTTTAAATCATTTACTGTATTTTAAATTTTTGTATTGTAGTGAACTTTTACTTCTACGTTATACTATAGTTTTAAAATTGTATAGTGTATTTTATTTCTTCAACAGTTGTGAACTGCCTGGAGTTTTGGGTAATGGGTGGTACAGAAATATAACAACACATATAACAATGGATACTGTGACGGATGGTTGCTGAGACATATAGATGTTACAATTGTGTCCTTTGCACAATAAAGCTAAATTGGGCCAAATTTGCAATATGGACTTGGAACTCACATTCTGGGACCCAAAACACAAAGGACATATGTATTTTTCCCTACTCCAAATGGATTTCCTTACCTTTGGAAACAAACATTTTCTTCTGTGTTTTGTACAAACAATAAGTATTTAATTATGTTGACCTGAACAGCCATCTGAACTGCTGCTGCTCCTCCCTGAAAGAAAGCATTAGTGAATTGCACCACAGAAATTGTGCTGTTCTGCACATTAAGTGTGATGGGCAACCCTCCCAACAAAACACAATGGACTTGGGTAAGCACACATCTGAAACCAGCATGCAGGGAAGGTTTAGGAGAAAACTGAAAAAGGTACTGCAGGCCATCTCTGGCCACACATTATTCATTTAAATGAATTTGCTCTGCAAGGTGAACATTATCAGGAATATATAGGAGAGCTTCTCTGGATACAAATACTAGTCAGTGATGATGGCTTTCATTGGCATCACCGGCAGAAGGAAAGGGAGGAATGGAAGAAGGCTACTTAGACAGTTACACTAATCTTAAACACATATAGCTGTGACGGCCAGCAGAAGATTCAATACATGGGGCAAAGGGGCTGATTCACATGGTGATGAGTTACTTCTGCATCAAAATTCTAGATGTACTCAATAGCCATCTAATAGGTGACTTCTTTAATGAGAGGGTGCTTTACAATCTATTTCATTCTCAGGATTTGGTGAAGTGGGGAAAATGACTAGGTTGAGAAAACATAATAACCCACCTGCAAAGACTGAGTATGAGTTTAGTGTGGTTGTCACTGAACCATGGGTTGTTGCTTATTTTGTAATATGAACCCAGCCAAGATAACAAACCAATGTGAGCAATCCATAGTTTTCAACCGAGCCACATACTTTGAGTCTCTTCATGGATTGTTCGTGGTTAACAAACCATGGCTTGGTAGTGCAGCTGGGTTCAAACAACATGATAATCCCTATTTCAACAACAATCCATGATTCACTGATAACCCACACTCAACCCCTGAGTGTGGGTTATGTTGTCTGAACCCAGTCACTGATTCCTATAATACACCGGAAGAAATGAACTGGTACAGAGAGATTTTGATCTGGGCCATCCAATGAGTATATGACTGAGCTGGGCCTAGCTTGAACAAGAGTATTTCTTTCTTTATAAAATGACTGATATATCTTACCTTATCTGTTTCCAGGGCATAGGCCAAGTCAGTATATGGATCATGGTATCTGAAATATGATTTTTTCCATTCATAGCTGAAAATTTGGAATGTGCTTCCAAATAACAACCTCCGTAGTCCCTTTGAAAAGGAATAAAATGGGCATTGTTACTAAAAAGCAAAACATGTTACTTGTCTGAGCAGTGAGGAGCTTCAGGACTCCCGGAGGTTACTCAGGTTCAGCAACCTCTAGCCTGGGGACCTAACACAACAAGTGGACGTTTTCCATCCATCCCGTCAGTTCTGCTCATTGCAAATAAGGCAGTGTCTCTGCTCCTCAATCACTCTGCATTAAATCTTTTGGAAAGCTTCCACTGGTTCCAATGTTTTAGCATGCAAAATTGCAATGAGGCAGGTGTCTTAGAGGGTGTGTGACTGCTGGAGTGGGAAGGACAAGTGTCTTCTCCCTAATATTGTGACCCCTCCTCCGATGCAATCAGACTTTCCAAAAGTTTTCGGTGCTTTCCTTATTGCCTCATCACTGGAAGAGGGCAATGTATGGATTTTTGAGGAGTCGAGCACCAGTGTGGCTCGGTGGTTAGATTGCTGGATTAGGGGCCTGTAAGCTCTTGGTTCTAGTCCCCACTCAGCCATGAAGCTCACTGGGTGACTTTGGTCCAGTCGCTCACACAGCCCAACCTACCTCACAGGATTGTTGCTGTGAGGATAAAAACAGAGTGAAAGAGAATTATGTAAGTTGCCTAGAGTCCAACATTAGAAGAAAAATGGTGGGAGATAAATGCAATGTAACAAGAACAACAACAACACTTATGAATGTGTGGGTGGTCAGTCTCATTTGTGGGACCCCATACATATCATGGAATGGTTCCACCAACTTTTAGGTGTAGGCATGTGCAGGCATATGGTCGGCTGAACTGCTTGCCCAGAACCAGTGTGGCCCTTGGGCCAAAAAGGATTCCCCAACCCTACCTCAGAGTGAGGAGCAAGGTCACAGGAGACATTTTTATTTGAATGCATTGACAAATATACAGGCTGAGGCTAAGTGGGGCAGTCGGAGTGCTACCATTCCAACAGACATTGCTCTATCAGTTTGGCAGGGGCACCCCCAGTACTGGTGGGTTCTTCCCTACTCTGAAAGTAACAGCCACCCCACAACCCAATGGGTAGATCTTTGCTCTTTCTGCTTCCTTACATTCCTGGCTTCCCCCTATCCCCTGCCTGGTGGGGGGAAGTGGGGAGCAGAATAAGCATTGCTTCTCTGCAGTGGCGCCCACCCTGTGCTGCCAAGTCTTGGGCTCCCCCAGCCATGAACAATCTTTGTACCAGCCTCATGATCCTGTGCTGCATGTGGCTTTTGTTCGTTTGCTTGGCTTATTTTGGATCTTTTGTAAGCTGCTTCTGGATTTGTTTCAAATGAAAAATGATATGTAATTATTGCTAATTGCTAACTAAATTGGCCTTCTCAGGCCATCTCAGCTTCCATGGAGACACAGTGTCTGAGTATGATAGACTATCTTTGGCAGGGCTGAAGAGCCACACTGATACCTCTGATTTCTGTGAGCAGAACCAAGAAGCACAGAGTTGGAAGGGATCCAGAGAGGCCAAACAAATCTAAATTCCAGAACAATGATATCCTTGGGGTCCTGGGAATGAATCTGGCTTTTCCAAAATGAAAAGGGCACTATAACCTCATCCTCCATGAGAAAATGGGGGTGAAAGAGCAGCATTCCCCAACTTGGGTGACCTCCTGCTGTGCTGAACTCTGACACCCATTATTCCCAGAAAGTAATGACCATGTTAATTGTCATTGAACAAAGTGGTGGTCCAACACATCTATCTGTAGCTTACAATTCTCAAAACTGAATTACCCCAAAGCTGCTGTTGGTCTTCCTGGGAAAAAATACAGGTACATTTATTGTACCAAATGGGGCTAATAGCAGCTTTGCAGTGGGTAATCTTTACGTCAGGAAAACTGTTCAAAGTACTGTCACTGCTGGAATCAAAACCAAAAGGAAGACTTCTTTAAAGGTCAGGAAATCTCATCATGATTCTCACTGTCATGTCTGTTTAGTTTCTTACACAAGGAAGCAACATCTCCCAAGCTGACTTCCTATCTGGTTTAATTTATTGATGAACAATTGGCATCTGGGAAAGTTATAAGGAGAAAAGGAAAGCATTAGCAAGAGCATGGGTCCTCAAACAACAGCCCAGGAGCCATGCCCATTCAGGCCTGCCATGCGCGCCCGCCACCGCCCACCTTGCACTGCGGGCAGGGAGGCAGTGGTTTGCTTGCTCGGCGAAAATGACCTCCAAGCAAGCAAGCAAGCAAGCTGCTGCCTCGTGCGCCCACCTCATGGCACATGCCTGCCCCTGCCTGCACCTCCCCTCCCCTCGTTGCATGCTTGGCCCCCACCTCAGTGTGCACGCCTGCACGCACTGCCCCTGCCCCCACACCAGCCCGAGCGCACTGCTGGCACCACCCTTCTGGCCCGCACCCACCACCGCCAGCTTTCAACTGGCCCCCTGGTGGAAAAGTTTGAGGACTCCTGAGCAAGAGGAAGGACATAAGAAGAACCATTCTATATCAGACCAAGGGCTGGTCACCAAACTGCTGTCTGTGGGAAGCGCACAAATGGGACAGGCATGCGATTGCCCCCTCTTGTTTGTGCTCCCAGCAAGTCATGTGTGTAGGCATTCATACTGCTCCTGTATTAGACTAGTAGCCATCTTATTCTCCATAAATTTGTCTAGCCTTCTTTTAGAGCCACCCAAGTTAGTAGCCATCACTACATCTTATGGTAGAGGATCCCATAGTTTTTTATGGGATGTGTGTAGAAGTACTTCCTTTTATTTGTTCTACATCTTCCACAATTCAGATTCATTGGAAAACTCTGAAGTCTCCTATTGTGAATGCATAATTTTATAAATATCTCTCATGGTCCCCCACATCTCTCATCCCAGAGTCTTGTAACCTTTCTTCAAAGGGGAGTTGTTTCAGCCCTTTGATCATTTTGCTTTCCCTTTTCTGCATTTTCTCTAACTCTATTAAGAATAGGAATAATGAAGTAAAATCATCTCATAATAGTTAAATCATGCTAAAGTAACAACATCAGTTTTGTGCATTCCACGTCCAAAAGCATCCTTGGGAAGCAACCCAAACAGTTATTCCTATTTTATTCCTTTTGAATAATTTCTAACAGCAGCAAACGACAGCCTTGATTCCAACAGTGCTCCTGGGATAGGATTTCTCTGTCTCTTTAATTCTGGTAAGATTAAGTTTCAGCTCATGCTTAATTGACAAGGTCTGCTTACCACAGCCATTTCCAGTGAGATGGGCTTCCCTCCTAGGTTTGATGAGACTTTGAGAGCTTTGGGAATGGAATAAAGAATATTGGATGCAAACTGGCTCTGGTTTAGTGGATTTGTAGTTTGGGATACTGCAGCGGTATCCTCTTTATCATTGTCCAGTTTGTGGTCTTGGAACTTCTATGTAAAAAATAGAAATAAAGGAACAATGAGAAATTAAGCAGTATAGCATATTACTAATCTTTTCCCCATCGTATTATCTTATTTTTATTGTAAATCATTTCTTTAAACAAAGGAATTCTAGCAAAGCTTATCCAATGTCTTGTTTTGTCTTTTATCTGCAAGGAGATAAAAGGGGTTTATCATTGCTTCAGAATGGTATGTCAGGAATCTAGCTTTTCTTTCCCTAAAGCACTTAATATAACATCTTAAAATACCACAAAATATTGAAAGATAAAGAGCACCATTGACTTCACAGAAACTGCAGTTTAGCAAACAATAATTTGATACCTGTTGTAATAGAGCTGCTATCTTTCTGTTAAAGGTAAATTCCACTGACACCGGTGAGCCTTACTGCTAGGTAAGTTGGTTGGGAGTTAAGAACTAAGGTGTCAAAGGTAATTCAGAATCACATAATTGTTCCTTTAGCATTCCATGTGTTGCATTGTGGTCCCTAAAATTACTGACTTTTTTAGGGACCACAATGCAACACATGGAATGTTCCTGGGAAAAACAGGAACCGCTCACATTCCCAGCAAAAAAATTAAAAAAAATTAAAATGCAGAATTCTTTTCTGGAGCAAAATAAGACAAATTGTTTTCTTACTTACTAGTTGACTCTTCTTTACTTCCTCTTGCAATATTTCTATGTAACTCAACTTGGAATCTACCCATCTTTTTATCAGCTGCAGCTTTGGTCTGTTATCCATAGCTTACCAATAGAATGAAAGTCGTCACAGGAAAGTTGCCTAGTGTCAGGTGACACTTGAAAAAAAGAACAACCTTGGCTCGAGGTCCTGGATTACCAAAAAGCAGGAGCTATCTTTTCTCTTCTCTTTTTGTTTTCTTTTTAAGAAACTATATGTCATGAAGTCAGGTTTGAAACTAGCTGTGAGGAAGTTTAAATAGATTTTTAAAATAGCATTTTAAAAAGGGATTATGTATACTTTTTATGCCATAAACTGCCTTGAGCACAAGGTTAGAACACAGAAGGAAATATAGATATATAATTTCTAAAAATTATATATAGGGTTCCCTGCATTTTATTGGTTTCAGGCCCTATGCTTTTAATAATACCTTGATCTGTTGACATCAACAGCTGATGATATTTATCTCTTTCTGATTACAGCAAGTCAAACTACTGTTAGGGAGATAAGCATTGAGCAAGCTTTTTTATGGTCACATGGAAAGCCTACACTATTTATTTATTTAATTTCTATACTGTACAACAGCCAAAGCTCTCTAAAAAGCAGTGGCTGGGTTCACACAACATGTCAAGCCAAAGTACAGATTGAGTGTGGGTTGTTGTTGAAATGTGGGTTGTTGTGTTATATACAGCCAACCACACTAAGAAGCCATGGTCCATTGACCATAAGCAACCTAGGAAGATAACCTATATGTTGTCAAATTGTGAACAGTAGGTTGTTCATGGTTAACAAACCATGGTTTGCTAGTATGGCTGAGGTCATACAACACAACCACCCATGTTTTGACAATAACTCACAGTTAAGCAGGAACTCACACACAATGGCTTGTGATCTTGTGTGAAAAGAGTCAGTGCATCGTGTGAATTCTGAACCCTCCCCACTTCTGCCCACTGTAATACTAGCTAAACTTCAGGAAACCTCAAGAGCAGAGTCTGAAGAAGCATGGAAGTTCCTTCCAGGGGGGAAAAAATGAAGAAAACCTGATGCATACTGTCAAGGTTTGATACACTCCTAAGTAAATAACCACATTTCTTTATTTTGGAAGTGAATATGGATTAGAAAAATGATTAAGAAAAGGTTTATTTTTATAATGACAATGGTATACTATTGTACAAGGAATCTCATGAATCTCCTGAGACGTAGTCGAAAAGGACGGCATAGAAATGGTTTATATAAAGAAAGAAAGAAATGTTGGTACCTGGTGAAAACATATCTGTATATTGACAAATTTGATTTTAATACCTGGCTTGGTAGATTTTCTCTTTTGTTGTTTTTATCTGTGTATTTTATTTTAATTGTTGTTTTAATGGATTTGGTATATCACCTTATGATTTGATAATGCAGGGAGACATTTAAATATTTTAACTTTATTAGTATATGTGTCTCCAAAAAACATCTACAAGTTGTTAAACTGAGTGGGGAAAACTGAGTTTATCTTCCCCCTCCAAAGAAGAGACTATTTTTACTGTTTGTTTAATTTGTTTTACAAATGAATGTTTTCATCAGCTGTATTCCTTTCAGACACAAGCCCTCTTTCAAAAACAATTGCTGGTAGTAAGAGTATAACACTGAAAAATAATTGGTGAAAGTTACCTGATGAGTTTTATGGCTCATTTCCAACCTGGAAAGGGAAACAAACACAGCTGAAACAGCTAAAGGCAAACATTTAGCAAATAGACAGTTCACAAAAATAGTGTGATCTGTGGCACATCAAGATCTCATAAGGCCACAGAAGCATAACATGGGACACATTTACTCAGAAGTAAGTCTCAATAAATTCTTGAAGGGATTCTTCCACAGGGTTGCAACCTGGAACATGATCTAATTATTGTTACAGGCAAGATTCAAGCAGAAAAAGGTCCTTACCCACCGACGTGAAAGATCTTCCGCCACTTGTCTAGATCTGATATTTTTCTGGATATCTCTTCTAGAGCCATTGGCTCCATGCTGCGTGCATCAGTGGATGCCACCTTGTCCATGTGGTTGCTGTGCATAATTATGTCACATGCACATTAAAAATCAGCTGTCCGACACACAAAAGCAGCTCATCCCCTTTTGACACAAGCGCTCATATGAAGTGTTTAAATAGCAGGAAGTGCTCACTCCCTTTTCTGTCTCCATCCCTGCACTTGCAGTAAACTGAATACTGTCACATTGCAATTAAACTTTCATTAGAGTTGGACATAGCCCCGTGTTTTTCTGTCCATTGTATATATGGCATAAATGTTTAATTTAAGGCACAGATTTATATCAAAATGGGCTGCAATTACATATCTATTTCAGGGAAATCGGAATTTTTAAATAATTGATGACACAGGCCTCAATACAGTGCAAAAAGATCGAGGGATTGTTTTCGCACAACACAATGAGGGATATGGTGTGCTTAAGAGTTAATGCTAGATTTTGTTGAATTTGATAGCAGAATGTCTAGAGGAACAGAATGCAACTAGGATCTTTTCCCTAAGTGAATGGCCGCAGACAGATATTTGTCATGAAGATCTCCTTTCTGCCAAACTTAATATATTTAGTATAGGAAATTTACTGTCACATTTAGAAAGGAAGAAACCCAATCTAAAAATAGATCCCCAGTCTTTGATGGACTCTCATTTATTGGCAGATAGGCCCTTCCCAAGAAATTTTGCTGCCTGAGGTAAAGAACAAGATGGCACAGTCTCCCATTGCATGTGCAAGATGGAACATTTTTCTTCAGCTTCAGTGATAGGATCCCACTCCTGAGGACAGCAGTCTAAAGGGTGTAGAGAAGGCTTCTTGCTGCCAGCTCTCAGCATCTGCTGCTTGAGGCAACTACCTCACTTTGACTCATGGTAGGGCCAGCCTTGTTGGCAGCTAGTTGTAGGCACAGATACAAAATACACTGTTACCTATTGTAACAGTGATAGGCAGACTTAAGGTTTGTCATATTTATAAGGACCCCAAGATCTGTCATCCGAAGCCTGAGGCAAAAGTCTTATACCTAGAATTAAAGAACAGGATGCTTCTAAGCATATGAATTTGCTTACAGTTGTTGTTGTTTAGTTGCAAAGTCATGCCCAACCCGTCACGACCCCATGGACAACATTCCTCCAGGCTCTCCTGTCCTCCAAGAATGAAATTGAGCTTACAGTCTTTTCACAGAAGTCCGTTCTTAGTTGCCACAAGCTTTCTTCATTGTATCAGTCTAGGTAGGGGAAGTAATTTTGTTGTTGCTGCTATTAAACTGGGAGTAAAGTTTGTGCTGAATACAGTAGAAGTCAGCGAAGCATTTTATTGCATGACAGTTCCTGGCAAGGAGGCAACATTCTACCTACAGAAATAAGGCACATTGAAAAGGACCAAAATTGTACGTATCAGTCAGTACCATCAACTTCATTCTAAGATTCTCAGAAACTTTAATCCAACAGAGCTGTAGTGTGCATTATATAAACATGAAATATATCTGTAATATTTTATGGTACTGGATAAAATCTCATAATTTATAAGCTTGTGAATACAAAGGGCAACAAAACAGATGACACACCAGATCCTCTACTTCATTTTGCTACAGATAAAAATGGAAGCATTCACTCTGGAATGTTCCTAATATTTTCTATCTAAGAATGCTGAAGGAATAATTTTCTCAAGGAAGTTCTTGTATTTTAAACCCTTTTGTGGATGATTATCCGTTTTAGGACCATCATGAGAAACCAGTCTTTTGGATTTTTTTTTTTTTTAATTTTTAAAAATATGTTGCCAGTTAATTCAGTAAGGACAGAACCCTATGGTGTCCTGATGTTGTCTGGGAAGCCATAGGATTCTCTTCAGACTCCAAAGGCTGACTGGGCCTAAGAGGGGAGGGGAAAGAGTGTGTGGGTCAAAGGGAGACTGAAGAAGGCTGGGCTGCAGAGTTGCACCATTTCCAGTTGGCATTCCAGCTCCTTCTCTCCGCATCACTGACCCTAAATCTAGACAGCTGAAAATGGCTGTGTAGATAAAATGCAGGGGGCACGTCCACCATCACGCCTGGCCAGTCTGGAGGCTTATGATAATCTGCTGCAAGGGCAACAGGCTTGCAACCCAAAGTTCTTTTTTTTCAAGCCCCCCATAACTGTCTTCCAAAAAGGAAGTCTCAACAGTATTGCTCTCAAAGATTGATACTGAAGAAAAAATGAAGAAAAAAATAAGATGTGATGTTAAATGCATCTTTGCATTATATGGGCAAATAACAGCCACTGGAAAGGAGTGGCAAAGATTTAGATCATGCCCAATGCAACAGCTCAGTGGAAACTGTTGTTTGCACTGGTAAAGCTGCTATTTCATGGAAATGGTTTTTGTCAGAACTGGAGTGGGGGCTGTTTATCCATTGCTAAAATGAGCATATACATTGCCAAAAAGGAGGAAGATATGGATTTGCATAATATGGGCACAACATTTAATTATGCCAATTTATATTAATACAAGCATTTATTCAGGTATTAATAATTACCTAATTAACAATTGAAATATTTTAAATATTGTCTACCTAATTGTGAAAGATTCCATCCCATTGTCCTGTGTAGTTGTTCAGGTGCCGACTATTGGTGGGAAAGTTCATGACTCCTTTATCTTAAAAGGCCTGGCCATTTCTTGGAGTACAGGATGGCCTTCAAGGACAGAACTGAGAGCCCTTCAAGCAAGGACACCTGGCTACCCTTGAAGAGCAGCAAAGGAGGACAAGGTTAAACTCCTCACCTGCTGTTCTCCTGATTATTATCCGTCACCAAGCAGCTGCTGTCTGCCTTTCAGGAAAACAAGTAGATGCCAAGATGCATTTAGGGATGTGTCTGGTTTGGCCCAGAAAGATAGCTGGCCCATCCCTTGCACAGTTTTGGATGTGTTTTAGGACACACTTGCAGTGAAACTACATTTTACCTTAGCAAATGTACTTTTCTAGGCCAAGAATGCTATTATCATAATTATTAGGATTATGACTTTTAAATTTTAAAAAATTCAAAGGGTACAGTACAAAACCAGATGGGACTATGGTCATATAATTCTGAAATGTAGTCCAAATAAAAGGGAATTGAGTGGTAAAGCAATTCAAAAGACAGTAAAATGGGAAAAGGGCAAATGAACCAGCTAAGATACTCACTCTGGAGAACAAGAAAAGTTTTAATCCAACACCAAAAGGATGGCAAAGTCAGTAGCAGCCCCACTTCTAGGAGAGGGTACAGCATGATGGAGCACGCTTTCCCCATTTTTAACGCACACCGTGTGGACTCAGAGAAGAACTTCCCAACAGATTTTAAGACACAAGCAGGTTGGTATAGGGAGAAACTTTCTTCCACATGTTGGTTCAGAGGGTACCTTCAAAGGGTGAGGGTGGATGAGTCAGTAACTAATCTCTTCCACCCTTCTGATTCTCTCCTGAAATTGTGGGCTTATGTGTCATTTCAGATCCTGGCTGGAGTGTGTGTGGGGAGGAATTATGAAAACACCTTGGAGTCATTAGCAGAAGGGAATCTGTGGCGTGATGCAGGAGGGGTTAAGCATCCTCTTCTGCCCACTGATTCTCCCCCACCCCTGCATTTAAATTATATATAACATAAAGCCAATATAATAACAATTTCAAAACAAAGTGCCTGTGTTTATTAATTGGCGTGTCATGGCCCCTGAGGTGAGAGCTGACTGCATTCTCTGCAGGAAAAGCTCCTTTATAGACAGTGGCTGCAATGAGGAATGACATAAACTGTTAACTTCTATGAACTATAATGAGATTTCATGAGAACTGGAGTGATAAAAGAACACAGCTGGGACTTGGGAGTCAACTTAGTATAACAGGCAGAGGAGAGAGGGTTTGGCAGTGAAAGAGAGCAAGCTGTGAAAGGTGCCCAAAATAGCTTTCTTTGAAGTGATTTCATTTTCAAGTGAGAATTTTGCTTCCGGCCTCACTGGAGTACACTTCAAAGCTCTTACAGGGGAATATTGCATTTGTCCCTTTATACCTGTGCATAGGCGAAGCTAGGTGATCAGAGGTTATTATTGCTGCAGACATTTCCTGCTCAGTACTACAGTTACTGTAGGGTGACCAGATGCAAAAGGTCTCAGTGGCTCCATAGATGTTGTTACTTCCTGTGTTTCTGTTGCTGTTTATTTTTTATTATTCTTTGTTTGATTGTTGCATTTCTCTTTTCAGAAGTGCTTCTTATTGTTAACTAATTTTATTTTGTGCAAGCTCCTTTGAGAATTTACTACTGACATGGGAAAGGTTTCAGAAGGAACAAACCTCCACTAAATCAGAGGTTGGCAACATGCAGCACCTCTGGGTGCCCAACACGTGCTTCAGCAGAAAGGGGTGGCAAAGAAGGAAAAAACCCCGGCTAAGCCTGTCCTTTTTCGATGCTGCAGCACTGAATTCTGGCAGCAAGCTACTCACTGGTTTTGCCCCACTTGCGCTTCATTACATTTTGGTGGTAAATTTGTCCGCTTAGCAGTGAGTGGATGCGGTTGCGGGTTGGACAGGGTTATGCCCTCTGGTGTTTGGAATTTGGCTCAGATTTCTAGAGAGGGAGCTGCTTTTGGAAGCCTAAAGTGCCTCTGAATACCTAAAACAGACTTCTCCAACAGGTGCCCTCCAGATGGTTTGCTGGGGCATGCTGGGAGCTGTTGTCCGACACATCTGCAGGGCCTAAAGAAGGTGGGGGGTGGGGAAGTCTTGCTGGAATAGTGTGGGGTGAAGATCTCTTCCCAATTGCTGGCAGAAATCATACTGATCCTGAGGAATCACTGGACTGAGATATAGTGCAAGGTGTATGCAGAAAGAAGGCAGCTGAGCTAGGAAGACACACTCTGCCTGCTGGACTTCCAGCTGTGCCTGCTGGACTTCTGCAGGGCTACCTGAAATCCAGACCCTGCATCCAAGTCATATGCACCAAGTCATGTGGTTAGTGTTGGACAAGAACTTGGGAGATCTGGGTTCTGGTCCCCACTCAGCCATGAAGCTCACCGTGTGACTTTGGACCAG